ATAATATATTTTTTAGAGAAGGAATTGAATTTTTAAAAGTGTAACTAAAGATAATATTTTGAGAAGATTTTGAGTTTGTATATCTAAATATCATATTTAGAGAAGATTTTGTAAGTGTAACTAACGAGGACTTTTGGAGAAGGTTTTTTAAAAGTGTCACTAAAGCCAATAGCTTTAGAGATACTTTTCCATTATCTTTTCTGAAAGTATCTTTTAGTAACTCTTACAAACGTCACAAATACTTGAAAAGTGTCACTAATATATACACTTTTAGAGAAGCTTTAAATAAAAAGTTTACTAACCTTTAGAGAAGTTTTGAAAGTGTATCTAAAGCTTCAAATAAGTGTCTCTAAAGGCTAACAAAAACACACCCTCCCAAAACCCTCTCTAAAACATTTACCTACCGTCACACAGAGAAGCTCTTTGACAAAATTGAAAAGCTTATTTAAAGGCTTTAGAGAAGCTTTTAAGTACAAAATAATACCTTCTCTGAAGGTCATTTTTCTTGTAGTGACACCATTTTCTTAACATTAACATATCAATCATTATTTGAACTTGTTTCACAATTATAACCATTAAAAGTACTTCATCCACCATACCATACGAATTCATAATCATTAAATGAACAACATCACCTGAAAAAAAAAATGAAATGATTTCATCAGCAATTGTTGATAAGAAAACAAGATTATCCAAGAACATATTTCGTATCCTAGTAAATTATGTAACAATTTCATCGATATTTTTTTTTTGTTTCTGAACACGTTTCATTAAGTTACTGCATCCACCATATCATACAAATTCATAACCATTAAGTGAACAAGATCACCCGGGAAAAAAAATGAAACAATTTCATTTACAATTGTTGCTAAGGAAACAAGATTATCCAAAGAAATTACATTATGCAGCAAGTTCATCCATAAAAGTTTTATTAAACAACTTCATCCATAAACGTTTTCATAAAACAATCTGAATACGTTTCATTAAATTGTTCTCCTTTTTTCAATTAAATTAGTGCCCTTTTTCTAACGGAATATGTTTCGCATCATGGTAAATTATGCAACAATTTCATTGATAAAGTTTTTGATATATGAACACGTTTCATTAACTTACTGCATCTACCATACCATACAAATTCATAACCATTAAGTGAATAAGATCACCAAAAAAAATGAAACAAATTCATCAGCAATTGTTGATAAGATCAAACAATAACTGATTTTAAATTTCAATTTCTTTAATCCGTATAATCCTGAAATAAATAGAATATATTTAAATTTTAAAAAACTAAATTAAAACCAATTAAATCCTATCATATTTAACGTAACCACTTATTATGTTTCTAAAATTAACAAATTATATTACATTCCATTATTAATCAAAAAACAAAGTAAATGACAATTAAGCCTTTATTGATTAAAATTAATTAAAAAAATGAAAATATTCTATTGGTCGAAATTGATTTGCATGGTTTTTAAAAATTGAGCGGTTTTCAACGTAACCTGCCTCTCTCTATATATATATATTGTTAGGTTTTTTTTTGTCAACCAATATATTTATGTTAACTATGTTAACTTAATTGACCAATATAATTCTTTTTTTGGTGTAGTTTTCATTAGGATATTTATTATTGAATGGGGAAAAAAGTAATCTGAATAAGGGTGTAAGTTACATTTATAGATGCCATAAAGAGCAAGATAACGTTTACATTCGGATATAAAAGAAATTCAAACTCACATTTACTTTTTCCAGATTTAATAAAAACACATTTCAAGTACAAACTAAATTAAATGATTTATGCATGCATGTACACATCATCAACATCCCTGATCCCATGCAACAAATTGCACATCTTCATTCGTACAACATTGAAGAACATAAAGCAACAATCTTTCAAGCACTCGAGGATCGAAGTAGCACTTGGTTGATCAAGTTGTCTATATTCACCATAGATGACATGGATTCGGCCTTCTTTTTCCAAACCCTCGCCATTCCTCTCATCTCTTCACCTTTYTCTTCCACCATTAACGTCCTCACAAGCTTTTCAACCTCTTTTCTGTTGACATCACTATCAATCTCCATCCCGATKCCCCACTGATTACAACTAAACCAGCAGTTGGTCTGTTGCTCAGCAAAGAAWGGCCAACAGATCATTGGAACTCCACTGGATATACTTTCCAGGGTCGAATTCCATCCACTATGTGTTAGAAACCCTCCGATTGATGGGTGATTCAGAACCTTTTCTTGAGGGCACCAACTTGTCAACAAGCCCCTATCCTTGGTTGCCTCCAAGAACTCCGGTGGCAGCATTGGAGAGTCTCCAGAAACAAGGTCGGGTCGGATTACCCATAAAAAGGTCTGGTTACTATYAGCAAGGCCCCATGAAAACTCAACTAGTTGTTGGGGTGTCATCACAGTTATGCTTCCAAAGTTCACATAAACAACCGAATTASATTCTCTTGAGTCGAGCCATTCCAGACATTCAGTCTCTTCTTTCCAGAGACTCGAACCCACCAGCTGCAGATCATTTTTCTCCSTATTGTTTTCCAGGATATGCAATGGCCCAATCGAGTAGACGTCACGATAAATAGAAGAGAGCTCCTTTAACACGTCGTGCTCTAACTCCTCGAAGGTGTTGAGTATGATTGCCGAAGCTTTTTTGGCTCTTTCGGTTTCTCGAAAAGGAAAGTTAACCATAAATTCATCTGGATTTGTGGATCTCAAGAAAGATGGCATGTCYTTCAAGCGGATGCCTTTCATGCTAGGAATACAATCTACGATCTTATCCAAGTACCCATTGGTCAAGTCAGCAGAATCTGTACGTGTAGAGAAATATTAATTAACAACTAAAGTATGCTTCCAAAAATGCATTAAATTTAGGTGTTCCAGACCAAACAATCAATGTGAAAGTGTTGTAATAAGTATTAAAAATAGAAACAAATCGTGCAAAAAACCCGACAAATGAAAGTGGGTAATTTACAGTGATGAGTTGTAAATTTGATGCTCGTTTATATGAGTTATTGTAGCTAGAAATGCAAAGGAAGGTTCTATTAATATTCCAAGAATGGAGTACCTTTAAGTGGAATGAATCCTTTTTCCATGAGAGTTCCATAGTGTACATAAGCCAAGAAGCCACAAGCACTAGTCGTCCAAAACAGAACTTCAGGAATCCCCAATTCATCTGCTGCATCTAGCGTGAAGCTCATTACACCGTCGGAAACTATACAACTCACCGGAGGYAYGGCGGTGGTRTCGTTGAGTTTCGAGAGAAGCTTCTTAAACGGTTCCAAACAGGTTTCAGAGGTGGACTTGCATAAAGASGGGATATCTTGGGTGACATCAAAGTTTTCCGGTGGCGGAAGGCCGTCAGGAATGGTCTCAAATTTGAAGGAAGGGTGGCGGTTGAGGGTGTCGGGGCCCAGAACCTTGAGAAGGCGGCGGTGGTTGAATTCGGTGTTGACGAAGGTGATATAGAAGCCTCTTGAATGGAGGATTTTGGCTAGCTTTAACATGGGGTTTATATGGCCTTGTGCTGGAAATGGTATGCAAACTGCATGAGGTTTCGGCATTGAATCCATATATGCCATTTGTGTGTGTGTGTGTTTGAAATGTGGTTTAGTTTTATAGCAGGACGTACACGAAGAGAACACAAAATCAACTTGCAACAGAGCGGTATGCAAGTTGAGATGATATTGAATGGAATATATATATATAATATATAATGTCAAAGAGGGACAACAGCAAAGTTTTTGGATTTTGTAAATCAAGAGGATCGGTTGCCAGAATTCAATCAGGATTTCTCTTTCTATGCACAGTAATTCCTGTTATGTGACCCAAACCTAAAACGTGCGTGTCCCACATTATTAAATATTAAAATGCGTATAAGTTACATTTTCTTTCGATTATTCATTTTTAATTAATAATTAAAATACATTAAACATAAATAATTTTTTTTATAAATTATACTATTAGAAAAGCCTTGTCTATACTTTCAAAAAAAGTCAAATATTGAATATTTTTTAAAACATATTATATTTTTAATCTTTTCTAACGTTAAAAGTTTATTTACTTTAATGTAATATCTTTTAAAAATAATATATTTTAATTAATAAATAATTTATATGATAAGGGCACAAAATAAAAAATGAAAACAGAAAGAGAATAAATTATGAATAGTATAAAGTTTGGAGGATTTAAAGTGTAATTTATGTTTAAAAGCATGCAAGGGCTGGTTAGATGAACGACAACTTCAGGTAATGTTTCTTATTTTGGTGAAGAAAGAAGCATGTTTTTTTAAAAAAAGAAATGTTTTTGTAATTTATATTTAAAAAGGTTGGTTAAATTAATGAATAAGCAGATAAAGATGTGAATGGAAACTGATATACGCGTAACCGAAGTGGAGTTCGGCTTTCAAGACCATGAAGATAAGAACACAACATTGCCGATTTCGAGGTGTATTATGGAGGACACGCGTATGCAACACTAACATGTATATATATATATATATATATATATATATATATATATATATATATATATATATATATATCATATACGATTTCTTTTGACAAATATATGAATTTGGACTGCATAGCATTTATGAAAACAATATGAACATAATAAGAATAACTGCTATACGAAAGAAAATAAATAAAAAAACAGGTATGAACATAATATGAACAGCTTTTGAACAATAGTTCATTAATTATAAACGCATTCAGGAGCGATTCTTTGTCAATTGGAGTTTTATACATGTATTGCATCCATACCGTTTAAGGTCCACCCTTTGTTCATATATGTTTCTGGTCTTATGTGGTTGTTCAACCCTTTGTTCATATCGTGTTCACCCCTTGTTCATATTGTATAAAATTATATGAATACATAACCCCGACGCTATGAACATCGGGTGCAAACACTTACACAAATATAAAGATTTGGTATCAAGCTTAAAAAATAACACTTGTGTTCATATGATATAAGTAACATGAACACAATGGTTCATGATTCATAAAAGTCGGTAATATGACAATATGAAAATGAGTCGTGCATGTACTTCCATTTGAACATGTGAATTAGGTAGGTATTAATAGTTAAAAAAAGTTATCAATGCAATATGAACTACAAAAAACACAACACATCATAATAAACATTATTTCGATTAAAACGAGTCTAATAAAATATTAATTCATTACCAAGACATTCACTTTGGTTAATTTCTTCACTTCCCGAACTCGAAATCCGATTGTCACCATAAACCATTTTAATCTTCTCAATGTTTTCGATTTTTTTTTTCTAATTCGTTTATCCATAATAGCTTGAACGATACCGAAGATTTTACTACCGTGTTTCCTCCACGAATCAAAAACTCATTAAACAATAAAAATGGAAGATCAAGATTAAAAAATAAATAAAAATATCAATATCATAAATGTATATTTTTAGGGATTTTATGATTTTGTAACTCCCCTTTAATGGTATGAGAGTTACATAGGAAATGAAATTACTCAATTACCCTTGGCATTAAATTGTGAACATGATAGAAACCTAATAGAAGAATGGATTGTGATTGGTTGACATGGTTTGCAAAGTTAATACAAAAACTTTGGTTAACATTTGATCTTGTCCCTATATATATATACACTAGGTTCGACCCCGTGTAATAAATGAGAAAAACTCTGAACATTAACTCTGAAAGAAAACTCTGAACATTAACTCTGGAACACAAAATTCAGAATTCTATTGTTAGGCTGGAAATAACTCTGGACTTAACTCTGAATAAGAGGAATTCAAAGTTGTCTTCTAAGTCTAGAAAGTATCTACGAGCATAACTCTGAGTCACAAGAATTCTGACTTCTTATAACTCAGAAACGTAACTTTGAAGAGGAGTTCAGAGTTGTATTCTAAGTCTGGTAATAAACTATATAACCAAGTTTGGGACAAAACAATTCATAGTTATGTTGTAAGTCTAAGAAATTACCAATATCTGATAACTTCATGTTAATGATTTGTATCACTAATGTCATTTAAGTGTAATGAGATTAAATTGTTGACCAATGTAATCATGATAAATATCGAACAGGTAAGAAAGGTGCGAAGTGCATATTTATTTGAGTTTATTTTGATTAAAAAGACGGGGGTCCGGGGCGGTGGCGAGGTCCAAGGGGCGGCAGCCCCTGGCTGATAATATTGCTTTGTGAAAAATGGTTCAAAAATCCGAGTTTGAAATTTTAAATAAGGTTTTGATGACCACTCCAGAGTTAAATTCAGACTTATAACTCTGAATTTTCCCAAAGTTCTAATGCAGAAGACATCAAGAGACAGAGCTCTTACTCAAGAGTTAAGTGTCTCGTATACAGAGCTCGTGCTGTATTCCAAAGAAGATCAACGCTTAAACGCCAAAAAGATTAAGTGCTTGATGCAGAGCCTCTGTATAGTACATGCAAAGCCTCTGCATAGTACATACAGAGCCTCTGCATAGTACATGTAGAGTTTCACTCCAGATGCAGAGTCTCTGCATAGTACATGCAGAGCTTCACTCCAGATGTTGTATAGTACATGCAGAGACCTCTGAGTCTCCTACTTCTAAATCTGGAGGCGAAATCGTTGGATGAGTCTCTAAATCTGGAAAGGAGGACTCCAGATTTTGGAACTCTAAACCGCCAATTACCCTGCGAAGACGGTTATACCATGAATACGTGAAATTAACCGCCCGAAGGGGCACATTTCACTTAAATAGACCTATTTGAACCGTAAGTGAAAATTGTGTCTAGATATATGTTTAGGCGGGAAAAATCAATAACCGCCGCACAGAAACACGACACGTGTCCCAAAAATTACTTATTTATTAGGATTTATAGATATATATATATATATAGAGAGAGAGAGAGAGAGAGAGAGAGAGACTTGGGATCATGTGAGACCAAGGGTTTTTCGTGAGACCCGTAAGATTAATTCTCAACCATTGGATTAGATCTACAATCTCAATATTCATAATCATAAAATTGCCACGAGACTTCTTAATAATCACAAAATTGTCACCGTACAACTTTAGACCATTAGATTATTAGCTTATAAAGTTAATCAATGAACATAAATTGGTCTTATGGGTCTCATAAAAAACTGTTGGTCTCACGTGAACTTAACCCTATATATTATATATATATATATAGAGAGAGAGAGAGAGAGATTTGCACGTTTATGTCATTTTCATAATAAAATTATTTATTGGGAGTCGGTCGAAAAGCATTCTAGCTAATTAAATCTTTTAATCATCAAATGCATTTCTCTTCATATATTATAGTCACATCACATGCCTTTTTTATCGATACGAATGTAACACACGAGTTTTTTTTAGTCCCTTGAATTTAAAAACCCAACAGAGAATGGGATCTCTAATGGGAAAATGGAGATTAAATGGCGATTTTTTTTTTCGTTTATGTAAGTTATTTTAAATTAAGTATGTGAGAGACTATATATTTTTAAATCTCAAACATTTTTAATAAACTTAAAACCAAAAATTAAATAAATTTAATTTAATACAAAAAAAGCAACAACATTATATAAGAACTAATAGCCTAAAACTAAAAAAATTCAATTTAATCTAAAAAAAAATTAAAGTTACATGTAACAAAAGATATTGAGTAATATAAAATCATATCGACTAATATACAAAACTTATCAAGTAATTGTATTTTCACGTAACATCCAAAATATTACATATTAACATCCAAAAAATAACAATTTTAAATTATAAACTTAATTAGGAAATAGGAAATAAGAAATTATAAATTATCGCTTTAGTTGAAATAATATATATATATATATATATAATTTATTAATTAATATATATAACGGGTACGGTGCGGAGAGGGGAGTACCATCCCCGCCCCCATCCCCATCTCTGGTTTGAGACAAACGGGAATCCCCGTCCCCATCCACGATTTAGCGGAGAATTCCCGTTCCCGACCGAGACGGGTGGATCGGGTTCCTTGACAAATCGGGGTCCATTTCCATTAGTGATGGCCAAATATGCCCGGCCCGGGACCGGTATGAGATTTTGGCAGTTTCGTGGGACCGAGACCGGTTATGGCGGAAAATTCAAATAATTTTATAAATAAAAGTATTTTTAAATAATTTTATAATGTGTTTTTTTAAGACAATGTAATTTTATTTATATTAAAACATATTTTTAAAATGTATTTGAATGAACAAATTGCGAATTTTATAATGTATTAAAAATATATATCATTAAAAAAATTTAAAAAGAAATTTTATTTTTTAATGCCAGGAGCGGTGGGGATCGGGACCCGTAGCCCATAATCGGTTATGAAGAACCTTGACCAGTCTTACCATTTTCGATCGGGGCCTGTTACGTCGGAACCGATTATAAGAAAATTTTGGGCCGATTAGGACCAACCTGACATCGAACCGGTTTTTGGCCATCACCAATTCCCATCAACAAAGTCTTGCGGTTTCTAATGGGCTTAAGCCACTGGATTCAAAAGCAAAAGAAGAAGCTTAGGGGTCAGAAAATGTTGGGAGTTGGTCAAGAAAATATTGGATGCAGGGCGCACCATCTTCGGACACACATTTGGTTGGTGGGGTCCACAATGGGCCGAAGTTAAGCGCAATAGCAGCTGAGCCCACAACCCTTATCTAAAATCCAAGTATTC